GGATAGCTGAAGCAGAGCCACATGCGAGGGATGGGGAAGGAATGGCAAGGCAGGCAGGTGCTAGACTGTGCAGGACGTGAAGGTCAGCACAAGGACTGTGGTCAGTTTAACAAGGCCATGGGGAGCCATTTCAGGGTGTGTGTGATGAGCAGATCTGCCCGTTAGGAAGATTAATTGGACAGCCACGTGGAGGATGGATGAGAGCTGAGGGAGGGACAGAGGTAGAGGTTATGCACAAATCCAGAACCTCGAGGCCCTGAACCAGGACATTAGCAGCCATAGGAGAAGAGGGTGTGGATGCAGGATGCACCATGAAGCTATAGCCTCCGGACTTCTCTCTCAGCACCCCATCTCAGTTTTAACTCACCAATTCCTTGTGTGGTCTTTTGTCCAATGTCTATCTTCCCAGCTAATTGAATGCTGTGAGAGCAAATGTGACTCCCTTGTTCCCTGCCACAGCCCAGCATCCAGAACAGTACCTGGCAGAGTAGATGCTCAAAGAATATTGGTAGTGTGAGTGAGTGAGTGAGTGAGTGAGTGAGTGAATAAAGAAATCACTGACTCCAGAGTTTTCAGCTGAGGCGATTGGAACAAGGCACACTAGAAGAAAAGACGGTTGGGTGAGGGAAACAAGGGTAAGATTGATCGTTGGGCAGATTGAATCTGAGATTATCCATGTGACAATATCCAGCAGAGTTAAATGTGCAAGTTGGGGTGGGGGTGTCTGTGAATAAAAAAGGGCATAAATCAATAGGGTTAGGTGATATTCCCAAGCGAGGCAGTGGGGGAAGGAGGGACAGCAGGAGGGGCAAGAGGGAGAGAGATTGCTTGGGGAACATCTACATTTTAAAGGAAAGAAGTCAGCAAAGGAGAGACAGAAGATTTGTCTGAGAAGGAATCTGAAGACCACAGGAGTACTCTCTCACAGGATTCAGGAAATCCAGGAAGAGGGATGAAAAATAGAGGCATGGGAAGAGAATAGGGCCATCATCAACATCTGAGGCTACAGAAGGATGGGAGAGCTGTAGAGCTGTGAAAACACTCCAGTGTCTGGCATCTGGGAGGCCTCTGGTGACTCTGATGAGGGCAATTTTGGTGGCAGTGCAGAGGCAGCAGATCTCTGCCTCACAGAGCCGCAGGGCTGACCCAGCGGTGAAGGAGTGGAGACACCAACTGGAGACCCCTTCATCACCAAGGTAGAGGGCAGAGATGAAGGGAAAGGTGGTTCAGAGCAGGAGCTAGAGAAGAAAGGGGATAAAGAGACCTATAGAGAAGAGACTGAGGATGTGAGGAAGAGGGAGCATGAAAGGCTCTAGGAGGAGGTGTAAGGAGAGAAGATCTGCAGCACAGGCAGATAGATTAACTTCAGGAGGAAGGAGGGGGACCTTGTCTTCAGACGCTAGGAAGGAAAGTTGCAGGAGCTCATACCAGCTGGCATCAATCATTTTGATAATGATAATAGTCACCATTTACTGAGCCCCCCCATGTGCCAAATACATTGCATACAGTATTTCTAACCTTTCAAAGTGGTATTGTAATCCTCACTGTACAAGGGAGAGAGGTTAAGTCAATTACTCACCATCACAGAGCTAAAAAGTAGCAGATTCAGGATCAGAGTTAGGTATGCCTGACTCAGAGCCCACAAGCCTTCCAATGCACCACATGAACTGGGAGGAAAGTCACCTGTTGAAGGAGATAGGGTAGGATGACACTGGGCCTTGAGAAATTGGTTAGGGAAGCCTCAACGGGATGAACAAGAAATTACTGGGGAGCTGAGAGAGCCACACTGGGAGTGGGCAGTAAGACTCTGGGGTGAACCCAAGAAGCTGCTAAAAAATCCCAGCAGGCTTCAACAAGGGGGGCACCTACAGTGACAAGGATATAAGTATCCAGAAGACTCAGCCCTCAACTGAGTAGATGTACTTTGCAGATTGGGGGGTGGGGAGGGGTACTAATCAGTGTTTGCTGAATGAATGCTTAGAAGCAGAAGAGTCCAGAGAAGGAGATGGTGTGGTGATAGAGAGATGGCATGTTGATTTTGAATGGTGCCATGGGATACCCAGAGGGAGGTGCTCAAGAGGAAGGCAAGCGTATTTCTTGACTCATTTATTGCCTATTTCCCTACACATACACACACACACACACACACTCACACCACACACACTCACACCACACACACTCCAGAATATAATCTGCATGAGGGCAGGATTTTGTCTGTCTTGTTCACTGTTATACCCCAGTGCCTAACACATTGCCTGGTACATAGTAGGTGCTCAATTGAAACTTGTTGGGTAAATGAATATAGGGGTCTGAGAGCCCACAGAAGATGTCTAGGTATCATTAAAGCCCAAGAAAGGATGAGTTCCCCAGGGAAACATTAGAGAGGAAAAAGAGGCACAGGCTAAAGTCAGAGTCCTAGGGAACACACTTACTGAAGAAAGGAAAGGAACAAGAGGAGGCAGCAAAACTGGGGGGGGGAGGGAGCAGTAGGAGAGGAGAGAGTACGGTAGGAGATGGGGGAGAGGAAAGAACTGAGTCACAGAACCAAGACAGGAGAAGGATTTGAGGATACAAGGGGGTGGCCAGCAGTTCAAATGGTGCAGAACTGCTCCAACAGAACCGCTGGGAAGAGGACCCAGAAGATCATCTGGTCCAGGAGAGAGACTTGCCAGAGCAGCAAGTTAGGGATGATGCTGGACCTAAAGCCCAGGTGCCCTGTGGACCAATTTGAGACATCTCAAATTAGAGTCCTGCATCCTCCAGCACCACCTGGCAATTCCTTGAGCTGCATAGAAACACAGAGGAGGAACCCAATAGTTCCTGAAATCATTTGACCATTAAATTGTTCATTTCCTGTTCTTAGAAATGTAGTTCTCTTCGCAATGTGTTGAGTCAAGTGAAAACATCTTAATTGACTGAGCTGAGCTGCCTTCAAACTCAGAATTCTGGGTCAGGGTGGGTTCTCTTGCATTTCCTGGAAATCCTGCTCCTTTTTTGCATGTCCTTACAAATACGCAGTCAGCAATGGCCAACATTAACTAGCAGCTGCTACACACCAGGCACTGGACCAGTACCTCCTCTTCTTCGAGCATCAGTACAAGGGTAGGCTTAATACTCCTCTCACTGGCAAGGAGCACACTGCTTTCCCAGGGGCCACAGGCAGGGAGTATTGGAGCCTGGACTTCTAACCAGGTGTGTCTGATGCTAAAGCCCCTGGCGATGTTTTTCTGCTCCATTATGATTTGCCCTCCTCCAAACAACCTGTCAGGTGGTATGATCACATAGAAGTCCTCAAATAAACTCTTGGGCCCCATTTGATAGAAAGATCTCAGTCTGCTGATATGTTTTCTCATTTTGAAAGAAATGAGGAAAATCCATCATCAACCAAAAGCCAGTGACCTTGAACTCAACCTGGTTGTGATATCCAGCCTGCTTCTCTGCCGCCATTTCCCTTTTTCCTCCTAGCAAATCATAAAAACCCCAAGGCTGCGTGGGCTGACGGGCCCAGTGGGGGGGCGGGGGGAGGCCTGGCCCCAGGTGACTACATCACACTTTCGATAGCTCATGCATGTTCCCATCCACACCCAAAAGGGGATTTGTAAAGGATTTGTCTATGAGAAAAACCAGTGAAACTGAATGGTGAAAGCAGAAAGGAAATCTAAGAGTTATATCAGGGTTCAAATTCTCAGGGATGTGGGGGGAACAAGGTAGAAGGAGGTCAACAGTGGATGGAAGCTCCAAGCTCTCTACCCCTCCCCACTAACACTGGAATACTTCCACTTCTACGTATTTTGCATATTGAGATTCCCATTAAGATTTTATTTGGAGAGGGCGCCTGGGTGGCTCAGTTGGTTAAGCGACTGCCTTCGGCTCAGGTCATGATCCTGGAGTCCCGGGATCGAGTCCCACATCGGGCTCCCTGCTCAGCAGGGAGTCTGCTTCTCCCTCTGACCCTCTTCCCTCTCACGCTCCCTGTCTCTCATTCTCTCTCTCGCAAATAAATAAAATCTTAAAAAAAAAAAAAAAAAAAACAGATTTGATTTGGAGAAAACCTTCTGAGGCAAAAAAAAAAAAAAAAAAAAAAAAAACAATAAAAAAATATAATAAAAACTGAAGGTAATTGAGAGAGAAGGGGAGGACTAACATAAGCTGAGTGCTTACAAGGCCCATGCTTGGTGCTTTAAAGGCCCTAAGCCCCAAGAAGATTATCATGTCTCCAAACCCCCCCTCCATGTGTAATTCGAAATAAAAACCAATATGAAGCTATAAAACACAAAAACTTACATGTTTGTTGCAATAAAAATAACTTATTTCTACATTGGTCTAATTTCAGAAGTCTGGATATGTTCATCCAAGCTGACTGTTTTTTTTTTTAATGGGCCTCTGATTGGCTGGGCCCCTAAGTGTGCTCATCCCATCTCGGGGTTGACCGAGTGGGGCCCAGGCTGAAATTGTGCCCAGTGTCCACAGTAGCCTTGGGAAAAGAGGCACTGCCACTCTTTCATATAGTCGAGGAAACTGGGGCTCAAGGGGGTTCAGTAATGGGCCGAATGTCACATGGCAAATAAGGAATGAGGGAGGCATGAGAACCCAGTTCTGTCTGCCTGACTCCAAATTCCAGGTTCTTTCTAGCATGCCTGAGTTCTTTCTAGCACCCTTGGCTTCAACCAAATTAAAGCAATATGGTCAAGATGAAGGTTTTACAATCGGAATCTGGAGATATATGACCACACATATGTGCCTGGCCTACAACAAGCCCTGAGGAAATGACCCCTTTCCACCTCCTCTCCATGGGCGCCCGGGTATTGGGTCTTGACTTTAGCTGACGGGGCCTGGGGCCTGAACCAGGGCGAGGCTGCCATCTATCTGTGCAGAAGCCTCTCGCGTCTGATCCCCGACTCCATTTTGCAGGTTGACACATCTCTCTGAGCCAGGCCTTGCCAGGAGCCCTGCATGCAAACTCGGCTGCGGGCTAGGGCACGCTAACTGGAGCTGGCATCATGGACTTCGTCATGAAGCAGGCCCTTGGAGGTGAGGCCCGAGCCCAGCACCCCTCACTCCCCAACCTGGGTCCCAACCCAGGTGGGAGGGGTCCGCAGAGCACCAGGCCCCTGTATCCCTAGCCCTGACCCCCCTGACCCCCCCTCCCCAACCCATCCACTGTAGGGGCCACCAAGGATATGGGGAAGATGCTGGGGGGAGAGGAGGAGAAGGACCCAGACGCGCAGAAGAAGGAGGAGGAGCGACAGGAGGCTCTGCGGCAGCAGGAGGAGGAGCGTAAGGCCAAGCATGCGCGCATGGAGGCTGAGCGCGAGAAGGTCCGGCAGCAGATCCGAGACAAGGTCAGCACCTCCCAACTGCCCAGAGAGTAGAAGGCACCGAGGTCAAGCCGGTACCCCCCAAAACCCGGCCTCGGGCTCCCCTGAATCCCTCCTCTCGCTTTAGACCTAGCTCTCTCTGAGCACCACTCTCCTCATAGGGTACAGCGAGTGTCACTGGAACAGCTCCCTCAAAAGAGCGTTATGGGAATTAAATAAGATAATGCACATGAGAAGTGCTCCCTAAGGTTTGCTGCTATGGTCCACAATCTTGTACCTGAGACAGTGGAGACCACATGTTTGCAATCCAGAATTTGGGACTTTTAGGCAAGTACCGTAGTGCCCTGAGCACCTGTTATGGTTACAGGTCACTCTCAATGGATCTGAAGCTGCCACCCTAGGCCAAACAGTTCAGTACATGTCTAGTCTCACCACTGCAAAAAATCAAGGCTATTAAGTAGCCTCCCATTAACTCAAATCAAGTTTTGTCATCCAAACATAGGGGAGGACTTTCAGATGTCAAATCTTGGGGGATTTCAGAAGAGCAGAGAAGTTATTACGGGCAGGTATTAATTTTAAAAGAAACCCCATGGGGCGCCTGGGTGGCTCAGTTGGTTAAGCGACTGCCTTCGGCTCAGGTCGTGATCCCGGAGTCCCGGGATCGAGTCCCGCATCGGGCTCCCTGCTCGGCGGGGGGTCTGCTTCTCCCTCTGACCCTCTTCCCTCTCGTGCTCTGTCTCTCATTCTCTCTCTCTCAAATAAATAAATAAAATATTTAAAATAAATAAATAAATAAATAAATAAATAAATAAATAAAAGAAACCCCATGCACAGACTCTTATGGAGCACCTGTTAAGGACAGGCACAATCCCATAAGGAAGGCATCCTTATCCCTATTTTATAGATGAGAGGACTGAGGCTTGGGGAGTTTCCATGAGTGCCCCAGCTGAGCCTGCATGACCTTGAGACCCACCCAGCTCTCTCCTTGCCCCATTCGTGCTCATTTCTGCTCTCCTCCTCCCCAGTACGGGCTGAAGAAGAAGGAAGAGAAGGAGGCAGAGGAGAAGGCAGCCCTGGAGCAGCCGTGCGAGGGGAGCCTGACCCGGCCCAAGAAGGCCATCCCTGCAGGCTGCGGGGACGAGGAGGAGGAAGAGGAGGAGAGCATCCTGGACACGGTGCTCAAATACCTCCCGGGGCCACTGCAGGACATGTTCAAGAAGTAACCGGCCCTCCTGCCCTGTTCCCACTCCACTTGTTCCTTTTATTTTATTTTATTTTATTTTATTTTATTTTATTTTATTTTATTTTATTTTATTTTATTTTTTGGTTCTTTTCCTTTTATTCAGTTAAGTCTCAGTTCTGAAGGGGAAAACCTCAGTTGACCTCTACCCCCCTTCCCCTGGCCAGGGACTCCTCCCTCTCAGCACTCCCTCACACCCCCTTCTTCCCAGGGTATCCAGCCCCCACCTCACTTCAAGTTGCTTGAAAAAGGGAAGGCAGCTTCCCCCCAGAAGGGGGCATTGAACCCAGTGCCAGAGGCACTGAGGGCCCCCTCCAGAAGCCTAAGTTCTATGCTAGTGTGGTAACCCCCATACATTCCTTCATGCACCCCACTGCCAGGAGGACCATTGTCCCCAGCCAGCCAAAGTAATGACACATTCCAGCCCTGCCCAGCATGTCGACCTTTGGCCCCTGACCCACAGTGGGCCTCCAGGTCAGGGCAGGGGCATTGAGGGGCCTGGCTCTGAGGAAGGGAGTCAGGGTAAGCCTGCCCTGTGAGGGCCCCGCCTGAGAGGCCCCCGCTGTATTCTGGTCAGGCCTAGGTCTGGGCAGGAGGCTGGGGCTCTTCTTCTTCCCTCGCCCTGAGATGGCAGCCAGCCCAGGAGCACTCCTCTCCCAACCCCCACCTGAAGAGGCATAGGCCCTGCCAAGCCAGTCCCTCCGAATGGATCCACTTTGGACTTTAATCTGGGGAGAGGCCCCAGGGTAGAGCAGCCCCTTATTTCCCCCTCCTCCACTTGGGTCCTGGGGCCCCACTGCCAGGCTGGGCCCAGTTTGCCCAGCCAAGGGGCTCCCCAGGCCTCCCCAGAAAACACTTGGAGCCATTGGGCAGTGATGGCCTGTGCATGGGACCACCATTGGTACAGCCAAGCTGCCCCCATTCTATCCACCCCTCTTTCCTACCCCATCATGTCCATGTGCTTCCAGGACCCCATGGTCCCCAGGAGGACCCTTCCTGGCCAAAGCCCCAAGGCTTTGGGAAGAAGCCAGTTCCCACTTGACAGAAGGCATCTGTCCATTCATCTCATTGGCCAAGAACAAACTCTCCTCTGGGATGTGTGAAAATGACATTTGCTCCCCCCCCAACCCCAAACTGTCAAGGCCTCCTGCTCAGTCAGTTGTGTAGAACTGGGGGGCCATGGAGCAAATGAGAGAGGAAAGTGTGTGTCCATGCACACAAGAGTGTGTGGCAAGGACTGCATCAGCAACTGTGTGTCCGAAGACTGTACCTATAGGTGTGTCGTTGGAGTGTAAGTATGTCTTGAGATTGTGTGTGTATGTTAATCACACCCCTGTGTTAGGTAGAGATCAGGTATGGTAGGCAGCCTTGTGTATGTGTGCTTGTTTGAGGGGGTGCGTATGAATTGAGGTTGTGTCATATCTGTTTTCTAGCCATCTTGTACGTGTGGTAGAGTTGGCACATGCAGCTTGTGTTTTCAAAATGGCATGTGTGTCTGGAGAGAAGGCTGTGTTAGATGTGGTGGAAGTGTGTATGTGAGAGAGTGTCAGAGGTGCTGAGACTGTTGTGTGCATGTGCGTGGCTCTGAATAGGCAGCTGTGTGCAGGATGTGTGCTTGGGGAGAACAAACATGGGTGAGATGCCCCCGTCGGCCCCAAAACCATTGGTCCCGGGTGGCCACATCCAACAGGAGACCTTGGCCTTGGCCTAGAGTCCTCCCGCCCTTGGGGGGTTCCTGCCTGAGGTCCTCAGAAGCCCACTGTGACTGACCCTGGCAGTGCCCCGAGAAGCCATGTTGGGCCCCCACCAGGGCCTACCCCAAAAGCAGGGCCCAGGGAGGGGCGACTTGCCTGCCCCCGAAGCTCCTGCCCCATTGACCCCAGTTTGCATTCTGCAGGTTTTCCATTTTAGTGGATTTATGCTTTTATTTCAGAGAGAGACATGTGTCTTCTCTGCCCGTTTCCAATAGTTAAAGCCATATCAGTTAGACTGCAATACTTTAAAGACGAGACAAAACAATCCATATGTTTAGGGAACCAGAAAAATCCCCTGGTCTGTCCCTTCTCTAGGGAGCAGGGCTTCAGCAGCTCCAGCTCCCTGGATTTGCCCTTCTCCCCCGCCCCCGCCCCCTCCCCTATGCCCCTGTGTCCTGCCCCCCACCCAGGGGGCCTGTGTCTGTGATGGGGAGCCACCTCGCACCCCTATTGTCTGCTTGTCTGTGTCTCTTTTCCTGGGCAGGATGGTCATTCTCTAAAGCCCTGGGGTCCTGGGATAGAGACAGGCAGGGCCCAGTCCAGGGGCCCCAGGCCTCCCCAGACCCTGTGTGTGAGCCCCACCCAGACACAGATGTGGATCCCAAGTGTTCAAAAAGGTCTCCCCCTTGACAGGGGCCCACAGATCTCAAAGGTAGTGCCCGGGCACAGAGAGTGCCAGATGGTCAGGAGAGACCAAGGCTCAGGAAGCTTCAGATGAGCAGAGGAACCCAGCCATGCAAGATATCCCGGGGCCCTCAGAGGATGTCCCTGGTGGTCTCCACAGCCCCTCTGCACCCCCAGAGCAGGCTCAGGGTTTTCCCCATATGAGAGTACCCTCCAGGCTGGCTGGATTAGTCTGGTGCATGGCCTAGACTCCTCCAGACTCTTCAGGCCTACTCCTGAGAAGCAGGACTAGAGGTATTCCTGGAGGTGGGAGCAAGGGAGAATTTCAGCATGGGGCATACCGGCCTCCCACCGCTGCCAGGTGATCACTGTCAGGTCCAGGGGGACATGATGACTGTCATTCCTGATACAGACCTGACTGTGGAAAGCAGCTAACCTGTGACCCAGGGAAGATGCTGTGTGCAACACACTCGTGTGGAGGGAGAGGGGCAACAAAATATGTGTGCGGTGTGCTCTAGCAGGGAAGGGATGTTCACATGAGGTACCTGGGGTGGGAGGTGTGTGTGGCCCACTGGATGGGAGGGGGATGGGTGTGCCACACATAAATGGGGCAGTGTGCGTGTGATACACTTAGGAGGCTGGGACGGGGAAGGAGCAGTCCCAGAATTCAGCACACACTTACAACGTATCAGGGAGACACTCTCCAGCTAGGGAAATAAGAAGGAGCAATCATTTGTACATGGTGAGAACAATGAGATGCAAGAGAGTGGGCACCACCTGATGTGGGCATGCGTGGTTGCCAGGGAAGGCCACGGCCAGACTTGCATGCCTGGGAGCTCACCAGCAGAGAAGAGGGAGAAGGCTTCTCTGGATCACCCATGCTGGGTGCTGGCAGTGAGCCAGGACTTGCACACATGGACAGCCTCAGCTCCTGGAAGGTGTCCTTACTGGCAAAACTGTGTGGGGTCTCCTCCAAAGGCAAGCAGGAAGTCAAGAGACCCTCTTAAGTAGGGGTTTGTGTGTATGTGAGAGAGAGAGACAGAGGGAGAGAGATTGGGAGGGAAGTAGCAGGGAGAGAGAGAACAGATATATTTTAGCAGCCCAGGCTCCTCTCAGGTGGGACAGCTGGTGGGCAAAGAAGCTGCCCTATAGGATCTGGCTAGAGTAGAATGGGCAGAACCCCAGCCATGAGAGCCCCCAGCACCTGGCTGGCAGAGCTGCTCCATCCTAGGGTCCTGCAGACCCTTGACTGGACGACAGGCAGCTAGGGATCAGATGGCTCAGGTGACATATGTCTCCCAGGCCTGAGGACATGCCTCCCCCCACATATCCCCTATTCCCCTCCCTGCTCTTGCTGCCCCCCTTCTTCCCTGGGGAGAGATTGGGAGGTGCTTGTGCTGGCCCTGGGGTGGGGGTCCTAGTGAGACCCAGGTGAGGACGACCATCCTGCTCTCGCGGGGGAATCCCTTTCCCACAACTGTGCTGTGTCCTTGTTGCTCTGCTTTCTTTAAATGTGTCAGTGCCTGGGGGGAAGAGAGGGGCACCCCCTCATGCCCCCTGAACCTGACCAAAAGCCATGGCTGTCGCTCCCCCCTTTGTATGACGCAGATGCTAAGATGTATCAAACCAACCATGACAACAAAGAAAAGACCTTGTACAGCCAACTCTTGGTCTGTCTGTCCTCTTCTGTCTGTTGGCATCACCAGGGTGACATGGGGTACCAGCTGAGGTGAGAGGGAGCTGAGCTGCAATGCTCAAGAGGCCCCAGAAAGTCTTCCATTTTACCCTCACTGCTGGCCGGGACACTAGAAATGACCCCAGAAATCAACTGAGGCCGGAGTCAGGGCTGGCCCCAGAGATTCAGGGCCACTCCCCTCCTGCCCTTCGAAGTCAGCTGTGCAAGAAACCCCTGGAGCTGGTGTCCCAGCCTGGTTGCAGTACCCCACACCCCTGGCCATCCTTCTCCAAAAGCTCCTCGGGATGTGGCATACCAACAGGGAGCCAACTCCCATGGGTGGGCCAAGGTCTGCCACTGGCCATCCCACCAACACTGAGGGAGTTCCTAATGTCTGCCAAGCCATGTGTGGGACAGGATGCCACTCAGCATTGCTCCTGGACACAGATACTTCCCAGGCCTTGTTGAGTCAAGACAAAACCAGAACCCCCCTTTCACCCTTGGCTGCCTCCACCATTGTCCTGCCTCAAGCTGGGCCTCATTTTTTCTCTACTTGACTAGGCAACTCCCATTCCTCACACACTGGTCTCCCAACTTCCACATCTTCCCTCTCTCCATCCTCTCTCCACTCCACCCAGAAGACTCATCAAAACACAAACTTAACCATGTCACTCCCTTGCCCAACACCCTTCAATGGTCTGTAGGAAAGCACTTGCCTATAGGATAACATCAAAATCATCAAAATGTATGATATGACCCCAACCTGCCAGGTCAGACCCACACCCAACTCTGAGCCAAGCCCCCCCACCCTCACACGTACCATGCTGTGTCGTGTTTATAGATTCTTCCCCTCTGCCTGAAATGAATTGTACCCTCCCCCTCCCTGGTATACTTCTTGAACTTCTCAAGATCCAGCTAAGATGTCACCTC